CTGCTACCCCAGCTTTTAAAATGTTTTATTCCATTTTTATGAAATATCTTTTTCCATCCCTTTACTTTCAGTCTGTGTGTGTCTTTAGATCTGAAGTGAGTCTCTTGTAGGCAGCACATGTAAGGGTCTTGTTTTCTTATCCATTCAGCCACCCTATCTTTTGATTGGAGTATTTAATCCATTTACACGAAAAGTAATTGTTGATAGGTATACACCATTTTGTTATTCATATTGTTTATTTTATGTATTTATTTTTCATCTTAAAGAAGTCCCTCTAAGATTCCTGGTAATACTGGTTAGGTGGTGATGAACTCCTTTAGCTTTTTCTTGTCTGAGAAGCTCTTTATCTGTCCTTCAATTTTAAATGATAGCTTTGCTGGGTAGAGTAACCTTGGTTGTAGGTCCTTACTTTTCATCACTTTGAACATTTTGTGCCAGTCTCTTCTGACCTGCAAAGTTTCTATTGAGAAGTCAGCTGACAGTCTTATGGGGGTTTCCTTGTAGGTAACTAGCTGATTTTCTCTTGCTGCTTTTAAGATTCTCTCCTTGTCTTTAACCTTTGGCATTTTAATTGTGATGTGTCTTGGTTTGGGCCTCTTTGGGTTCATCTTGTGTGGGACTCTGTGCTTCCTGCGCTTGTATGTCTGTTTCCTTCACCAAGTGAGAGAAGTTTTCCATCATTATTTCTTCAAATAAGTTTTCAGTTCCTCACTCTCACGCTTCTCCTTCTGGTACCCCTTTGCTGGGAACGTTGGTGTGCTTGATGTTGTCCCAGAGGCCCCTTAAAGTCCGCGGCATGAGCCAAGACAGGCTGTTGGTATGGAAAGCCGCTGGAAGCAATTTGGGTGAGCCTGAAAGTCGAGTGGGGCGGAGTCTCAGGAAATCACCAGAGCAGGGCTAACAGCATTGGCCAGGTTAATGGAGACTCAGATACAGCACCTCCTGCATGTGCAGGCTGGGTGCGAGGAGGGCTTAACAAAGGAACAATTATTTTGCCAGCCCTTCTGTCTGGGAGACAGCTTCTCCTCCAGCCCTTGCCCTGAAGCATACAGTTCAGTTCCTCCCCATATGTCCCTGGAGCCTTTTGAGCTGCTGCCCCAGCACTGGTGCTCAGCGTGAGTGAGTCCATCAGTGAGTTAAGTCTGTGTGGGGGCCATTTAAGGGGAGCACCTGGGACTCCAACCACCCTCTGTCTCACTCAGCCACAATCTCCACTCGTTTTCACAACCAGAAGTTGTGGGGACTTCTCTTCCCGGCACTGGAACCCTGGGCTGGGGAGCCTGGTATGGGGCTGGGATCCCTCACTCCTCCAGGGGGACCTCCTCATCCAAGGTAACCTCCCAATTTTTAA